CTGTACATCAACGACTAAAAATATAAATACAATGCAATCAAGTATACATTTAGTATACCATAAACAGACTATATATACATCCTACCATGCATTTAACAAATTTTCCAGAATTGGGATTCATTTTGAGGAAAAACCAAACAGATGATTTCCTGGAGTTATTGCAATTATCAATAAATCATAGCAATACTAGAAATTCAAAAAGATCACTCGAACCAATCCCATTTTGCGCGGCGTCAATGCCAGGTGAATGCCGCATAAATTAGTACTCACTAGACAGTGAAAAGAAAAAATATAGGATGCTTGAATAAACAACCAAGCAGTAAGTAAACAACCTAGAAAACAGTCAGGCCAGTAGGCAAACAAATTTACCGACTACTATTTTTCGAGCAGTTTTAGCAATAACAACATACCAAATTACTTCCGGTAAATATAAAGCGACTTCTTTCTCAGAACATACCCAACAGACAGTTGGAAAAAAGTCAAATAACACCAGTCAATAGGCAACGTTTTTTATTTTACTAGGATAATCCGAAAATTAAAACACTTTCGAAAATAGAGGTCGATCACGCATTTCGTGAAATTAGCACTTTCACTGTTCCACAGGAGAGCTTGCCTTCCTTTTGACAAAGGAAATGAACTGAACTCAAAAAATAATCAAAAGTCAAACCGCAAAAAAAAATAAATTTAAGCCTGAACAAATTGTAAGACTTTTCCTGAAAAAATGGCAAAAAAACGCGACCTGTATAAGAGCCTGAACAACTTTCATCGACTCTTAAACAGCAGAAGTAAATCAAAACATGAAAAGCAACTACAATATACATTACCTACAGCAAAAAAAGACTATCTTACGATGTGGCAACTAAGCCGACAAAACATATAAATAAGAAGCTGAATTTTTTGAAATGCAATATTTTCGATTTGAAAAAAAAAACAGGTCCTGTCAGATGCGAAACCAGGACCTTTGCTATCCCAGGCGTATTCGTTACCTCCAAACCAAATGTGCCACAGAAAAGAAATCATTTATGAACCGAACCTCAATTTACCACTTCTAAATTTTGACTTTTCTGTGAACAAAGTTATTTACGGGAAAAAAGCCTAGTAATTCTTTGCAATACCCTTGCTTATGGCAAGGGTAATAATTTCGATTTTAATCAAGTATTTTTTTATCAATTTTGCGCAAATACTTCAAAAAACGCTTCGCAAGGTTTTTCTGTCAGTCTTCGCAATGTTTGTGTTCGCAATTTTTGGAGCACAATTAAACACAGAGGCGAAGCTGCATTTCCCAAAACAAGCGAGAAAACAGCAAAAATATCTCTACAAACAAAAAATTGAAGAAAAGAAAAATAAGCCATAAAAAATGAAACTTTTGCCGAAAACGAACCAACGATCTGTTGATTAAAGATTAGCAGTCTCATGTCCTCGCTTATCAATGTGCAAACAGCAGCCACCAATAAAACGTTGAAAGGGTTAATTGAGCCTGGGAAAACGAAAACTTGGATGTGTCACCAACCTAGAATAGAAACGCCGACCTGTGATTAGGAGTCTCACGTTCTCATTAAAAAAAAACTAGCAACCAAAAGAGCAGATAACTGATAATCTTCAATTGCCAATAATGCTATACAGCAAAAGTGCCACCAAATGAGCACTTCTATTTGGAACTCGCTCTAATATTAGAAACAAAGAAAGGGTTAAAATATTACAAACAAAGAAAGGGTTTTACACTTCAACAAAGTTTTTCAAAATTTTACTAAAACTAATACGCCGCTTTTTTCCTCAATGAGCCACCAAAGCGTGAAGTCATTTTCTCACAAAAAAAAACAAAAACAGTTATTTTTTTTACCAAGTTCACAGTTATTTTGAGCAAATTTTGACATGTATATACAGGTTTGCGGAATTTTTCACCTTCGAAAGTCGAATTCTGTCCTTGTGCTTTTCTTTCGTTGCATCATAAAAACAGCTCTACCCAAAAAATGAGTTTGAACGATTAAACGATCTCCATGCTAACCGATCTCAAAATTTTTCTGAAGGCGCCTTAGACGCCAATACATGCTAATTTTGAGAGGGAAAGGCGCGCCGAAAAAAACGCAATTTTCGGTCAAAATTTTCCAAAAAAAAGGCCTAATAACGTCAATTTAAGCCTTTTTTTTCAGAAAATTGTCTGCGGCGAAGAAAACTTTCTCATAAGATGATCTTTATACTGTTTTGAGAGCTGGAAAAATTAAATTTAGTCCTACTAAAAAGGTCTTTAGAAATCCCCTCACTCGAGAAAAATATAGATCCACACCTGCAACCTATATATAAGAAGATAAATTCACCTTCGTTAAAAGCTGACACTTTCGGATCACCCGTACCTATCACCACCACTACCACATTCCCCTCGCCCATCACTTGGATAACCAACATTCATTTTGGATAATCAACAGTATAAAATATCTTTTACACATGAAAAGTTTTCCCAAGCATCTAATTTTGCGCGCTTGTTTGATTCACGTTTGAAATACGGTGGACCACTTAGGAGGGAGGGGGAGATTGTACGGTTGGTTCCAAAAAGCATAAATTTATTTCCTGTTTGCTGCAAACATGTCACTGCTTATTCCTTATTGTGTAGTTTTGCATTTGACAGGAAAAACAGCTTCGGTTTCTGTTCGAGATTTGAATCTCAGATTTCTACTTTTGACATATTAGCACCTATTTAAACATGAAAAAAGGTTGTTAAATCGTATTTACAAAAATGGAGAAATATCAATAAAGAAATTCTTCCAAATTGCAATAGAGGGTCTTTCAAAATGTTACCAAAATTAAACGCCAGCTCAGGGGAGGATTCAGGATGGCCACAGTGTCTGAGAAGCCGCGGTCACTGAAGGCACCGATACTTGCACTGATGAAAATACATAGAAGCACTGATATTTTTTTTTGAAAAAATTGCCTTTTTTTTTTGGTTTTTTGACCCAACTTTTTTTTATTGGTCCAACTCATTGGTTAATTTCTTTTGCCCCAACCAATTTCTTCTTCTCAGAGCTGCTCATTATAACTAGAAAACTTATACTGTGTAACCCTGCTTAGATTTTTGATTTTGAACGATTCAATAAAGAAGCGCGATGAAAAAAAACTGGTGTCACAGATATTCATTTGTTGGCACTGATGGCACTGACAGATCACGCTTCGCACTGATTTGGCAATGACTGAACTGATACCGTGGCCACCCTGGGATTTAGGAAGAGGGCAGACGCCCCACCTCCTCAGGGATTTGAAACGCTCACCAACCAAAAAGTCCCCCTTTGGTATTATTTTATGACATCCATTTTAGGCCGACCAACCCTGAAATTTTTCTACATGCGCCAAAATATACTTATTTTGAATGGGAGCGTGCGCCGAAAAAACGCAGTTTTTCGGTAAAACGTTTCGAAAAGTACCCAAAAACTGATTTTTTTAATCCTTTTATTTTTAAAAATTAGCCTGCGGCGCAGTAATTTTCGGTCACAATAGGGTCTTTATACTCTTCTGGGAGTGCACGGTAAATCCTAGATCTGCCCCTGCGCCAGTTACTTCTTCAATGAGTCAATGAATGATGTTTTCAAAACCATGACCAATATAAAACTTTTGGGTGTCAGCCTTATCACTTTTTTGGTTTTCGGGCGCCGCGCATTTAGAATTCCCAGTGAGAGCCGGAAACGTTAGGAGGATCTAACACTCTTTGTAAAACTGTCACACACGCGGACAAGGGCGACAAAAAGCACAATGGCAAATGGTGGACACTTTCAGAAACCTTTCATATTTATATGTGCACCTTATACATTGATAAATTGCAACAATACAAGGAGCGATGGTGACGTAGATAAGGTCTCGGCCTACAATTCGAAAAGACGCTGGTTCGAAAACCCAAATGATCATGGCCATTTGTTGACAAGGCAACGATTGTCAGCCCATAAAATAACCAAAAACTACATCTAGTTCTTAAACGGGCAGAACAGCGGTTCATGTAAAGAAATCGGCTCTTTTTCCTCCCATCCTCTCTTAGAATACCGATCTATGAAGAGTTGAACAGACTCCGTCTTTTACCCGTAAAAATAGCAATTTATGATTATCCGTTTTTTTGCAACTCAATTTCCTCAACAAAATCCTCGATGAGTTTCAATTTTCATTTTTAAGAACTTGAAAACTTAGGAAATAGAAAATCCGGTCAAAACTGGGAGGTGAAAAATCATCAAAAACATTTCCTTGAAAATTCTCTCGGCTTTTTTATCCAATGATCAAAACCGTAGAACATCACAGCATATCTGAACAAGGATAGCCGGTTACTGAGCAAGTAGCACAGAATGTTCCGACCATAATCTTAATAAATTCAAAAAAGGTTGCTTCTAGAACTAAAGCATATTCGACAGTCATAATAAAACAGATAAATTGTAAAACAGTTTTCGTAGAAAAATGAATAGAAAAACGAGAAAAAAAATCGTTAAAAAATCAAAAAAAAAATTTGAAAGTTTATGGAGCAAAAATCTAAAAACTAACTTTACTCGAGTAAAACTAAGTTTTTACGGCTTAAATTGAGTAAAAAGAAACTATTTTAGGCCTGCTCGAAAATAGACTAAAAATCAAACAAGTTCTTCTAAACAATATTTCAAACAAGTTCTTCTCGACACTGAGGAAAAACTTTCAAATTTTTGAATGCTGTTCGAATCGCGACTAAAAGGGCTTTAATATGGTATATCAGGCGACACTTTCCGATGATTATTTGTGTTACCTGATTTTTGTAGCGTGAAAATTAAAACAAGTATTGTGCAGAGATTTTGGTACCTTAATTTGTTATGAATTAATGCGAACCTTAATTTGGAGGTTTCGAATTAGTCATAATTCTATTTGTTGGAAAAAAAATTTGCAACGACTCAGAATAAATAAGTGGAAATAACTTGCTGACAAAAACAAGCAGAAATGTCAAACTTGATCATTCTGTGAACAAAGGTTTCTTCGTGAAAAAAGGTTTCATTATTTCGTCCACTTACAAGATTTTGGAGGTTTTGATTTGAAGCACCAATTCCGTTTTGCTGCAGAACACCGTTAGACGACCGTCCCATTTTGTTGTTTTCGATCAACTTTTCAAACTCTCGATTGATTTCGTTGTACTTCATCTCAGTATTTGGTGTCAGTTGCGAGCTCACACCACTGTTTGCTCCAGGTATCAAATGAATGCTATTTGGGATATCTGGACCAGCTCCTACTGCTCCCATGTCTCCATCATCTTCATCGCCGCTATCAGCACCTCCTCTCGAGTCTTTTTTAGTCAGCATCTAAAAAATTGTTTGATGCTCTATTTCTTAATATAATTTGTCAAGATTGAAAATTGTTTTCCAAAAAGTTATCTAACATCTAAAATGTCCTGGTTTGTCTTGGACTCGTGTGGCTCCTCGCATGCCGTATATTTCAGCAGAATTGTATCCATATCACTGCTGGCATATTGAAACAGCCTGTTGCTAGCATTAAATATTACTAATGCAATCTCACAGTCACAAAGAATGCTTAGTTCGTAAGCTTTTTTCATCAGTCCCCATTTTCTTTTAGTGAATGTTACCTAAAGCAAAGAAATTAAGCCAAATTTTCAAAAAGACCAGCAACTTATTGTGAATAAAAGCTACAAACCTGACGATTTCTCTCATCAGAAATGCGGCTGATAGCTATTTTCTTTCGCCCCATGATTTCGCATCTGAAAATAAAACAACAATAATTGTTTGCTATGAAAGAATCGCAGAATGTACCAATCCTTTTAATGTTAAAATTGAATCTAAAAAAAAAACTGAAAAATTATTCGAAATTTTTAAAAATATTTCATCCCCAAAGTTTATGCTGTTTCAATGTAGTGCTAAGGCGTTGAATTGGTCGATGGGCAATAACAATTAACCATAAAAAAAACTAAAGATTCACGGCTAAAAGCTTTCGACTGACTACACTAGCAAAGCTGTTGAAGCCTTATTGTTCCGACATTTGAAGAAACTTTCTATTCGTATGTGTTTTAGTTTTTCTTCGGTTTCCTCGCAAAATTAACTACCACAAATAATCATCAGAGTTGAGTGATATATCAAACTAAAGCCCTTTCAGTCGTGATTCGAACTTTTTCTAAAAATTTCGAGAAAGTTTAACCAAGGTCAAGAAAAACCTATTTGTTGTGATAAACTTATTAAATAGATATGATCGATGAAAACCTGGAGCGCGTGCTCGACCTCCAGTAAAAACATCCAACACACACCTACGACGGCGCGAGACCGGCCCAGGCGACGACTCGAGACGAACCCAGGCGACGACGCGAGGCGGACCCAGACGACGACAAAGAACAGGAGTAGTTTGGTTGTTTGTTTAACCCCTCGCTCTGGGCTAAAGTTCTCTCGCGGGTGATACTCCGGACTTTTGGGCTTCTCAGACTATAGCCACTCTACCTCTCTGGGTGGACCCGCCAAAGGGTACTGGGTGGGCCCGCCAACGGGTGCTGGGTGGACCCGCCAACGGGTGATGCCGAAGAAGACAGGTGGATCCTCATCGACGACGAGAAGAGGAGATCCGTCGACAGAGGGAATGGAGACAGAAGAGGAGAGTACGCAGGCGTACTGCAGTCAATGCAAGACACATCTCAGAGGTGGTGGCGTGTGGTGTGGAAATTGTGGGTATGTACACGTCCGATATAGCGGTCTTTCGTCGTCCAAAGCCTGGGAAGATGGCTTTTTGTGTCAACACTGCAAAATTCTGGAAGTTGGCAGCCAACAAACCACAGGCTTATCACAGTTCATGGACCGTTTAACGCTGAATGAAACTTCAATTCGTATGAATATCGAAGCGTCAGCAAGCGTTTTACGACCCCCAAAACAAGGTACACTGTTGATTCTTCCACTGCCCGACTACGAGAAAACAAATAAAACTTCGAGATTTGGAATTTTAAGTCATGAACAAGCTGTAGAGGTTTTTCGCAGGGCCTACCAAACATGCGCCGACTGGCAGCCCAATATGTTTTACCTCCCCAGATGCAACGCAGCCACCGACTTCCTCAAAAAAATGAGTAAGTTACTAGACTCATTTGCAGAAAATGGCTCGAATTCCGAATATTCACTGAATGCGGCAATGATAATGGCTCCACTGTTGTTGCAAATGTCCGACAAGTCAAACCAAAGGGCAGATATCAAAAATCTTCAGAGACGTCTTGTCTTGTGGGATAAAGGTGAAATTGAAGAACTGCTACTTGAGTGTTCAGCTATACAAAAAGCGCTGTTGAAAAAACAAAAGAAGCGCGGAAATCAAAGTGTCGCTAAAACGTTCGCAAACAATATGAAACGAGGAAAAGTTGGCGCCGCCATAGCAAATTTATCGGGAGATCCGGGCGGAGGTGTATTGCAGTTACAAGAAGAGGTTGTGAACAAAAATAAAAAGAAAACTGTGAAAGAACATCTACTAGATTTGCATCCAAGACAACGCACCATTCAGTCAGAAGCTGTAATCGACAATTGCGAAGACGAACATATCTTTCATCCCGTGCTATTTGACAGAATAACTGGAGGTCTTATAAGAAAATCCGCGATGCAACTCAGAGGAGCAGCTGGGCCATCCGCAACTGACGCAGTCCAATGGAAAAGGTTTTTGACAGAACACAAACAAGCGTCAAATACGCTCTGCCAGTCTGTGGCCGGGGTAGCGAGAAAGTTGTGCACACAGCACGTTGCCCCTGATTACATAAACAATCTCCGTGATAGTAGGTTAATACCACTGGACAAGATGCCAGGCATCAGACCAATTGGCATAAGTGAAGTTTTACGAAGACTAATTGGTAAAGCTGCTCTATCGGTTTTGAAACCATATATCCGTGAAGTTGCTGGTAACAAACAACTTTCTGCAGGCCATGAAGCTGGATGTGAAGCCGCTATTCACGCGATCAGAAAAATGTTTACGGACCATGAGTGCGAAGGATTGCTATTAGTGGATGCCGAGAATGCGTTCAATGAACTCAACAGACAAACAGCCCTGAGAAACATTCAAGTACTGTGCCCTGGATTTTCCAAAATTTGCACTAACTTTTATCGAGAGCCTTCTCAACTCTATCTTTCTGGTGATACCATTCAGTCAGAAGAAGGAACCACACAAGGTGACCCATTAGCTATGCCTTTTTTGGAGTTTCAGCAATGCCCATTATCAATGCCACAGAAACACCTGGGTGCAAGCAAGTTTGGATTGCTGACGATGCAACCGGGATAGGAGACATAGACGCCCTCAAGATATGGTGGGACAAAATCTCTACATTCGGACCGAGCTTTGGGTACTATCCGAATGAGAAGAAAACTAAAGTTCTTGTCAAACCAGAGTTTGAGGAAAAAGCCAGGGAGATATTCAAGAAATCGAGCGTAGAAGTTCTCACGGAAGGACATCGAGTTCTTGGATCGGTTGTTGGAAGCCAGAAGTTTGTTGAACAATACGTATCAGGTTTGGTGGAAGAATGGCTTGCTGAGCTACAGACGCTTAGCGACATTGCAAAAACGGAGCCACAGGCCGCACTATCTTGTCTGACCCATGGCTTGCAAAGCAAGTACACTTTCTTACTCAGAACCACACCTGACATCATCGAGTTAGTTCAGCCAATACAAACATTCATAGAGGATACCTTATTGCCCAACATTTTTGGTCGAGCTCTATCTGACGAATTGATGAGAGTAGCGAAGTTACTTTGTAGAGAAGGAGGCCTTGGTATTATTGATCTGACTCGTCAGAGTTTTCTTGAAAAGTCACTCTACATCAGTGAACCTCTAATCGAGTCTGTTGTTTCTGGAAGCTTTGAACCCATGGAAAGTATCTTCAGCCTACAGCAAAGAAGAAAAAATCAAGTGTACAAGAGCAATCGAGCAGAATCAAAGCAACGTTTGACCGAAGTTCTTGATGAATGCTCGAATGATCTCAAAAGAATGGTACTGCTAGCAAGTGAACGAGGGGCTTCTGCATGGTTAACGATGTTACCGATTGAAACTGAAGGTTTCTCACTAACTAAGTCAAATTTTCGTGATGCGTTATGTCTGAGATACGGCCTGACTCCCGATCACATGCCTGTCAAATGTGCCTGTTCCAAAGATTTTAACGTTGAACATGCGTTGAGCTGCTCAAAGGGCGGCTTCCCAATAGTTCTCCACAACGAAATACGTGATTTGTTTGCAAATGTTCTGTCACAAGTTTGCCACGATGTAGCACTTGAACCTCAGCTGCAAGAAGTAGACCGGACTCTAACACCAGGTTCAAATTCTCAAGCTGGCGCAAGATTGGACATCAGTGCAAGTGGTGTTTGGGGAGGTAGATTTGAGAAAACTCTGTTTGACGTTCGAGTATTCAGTCCACTCTGTAAAACCAACAGTGGACCAATTCAACAGACATACCGACGTCATGAGACAGAAAAAAGGAGGAATTACGAATCGCGAGTGCTCGAAATTGAAGGTGCGTCGTTCTGCCCAATAGTCTTATCCACCTCGGGGGGTCAGGCTCCCGCCACACAAGCACTAGTAAAACGACTTGCCACCCTACTATCAGAAAAACTCGACATTCCACGCCCTATCACAACAAGCTGGCTACGGAACCGATTGAGCATGGCCATCACTCGATCCTGTATCATGTGTCTGAGAGGTGCACGATCGAGGTCGAAAGCCCCAGCTCGCGCTTGGGATCCTTATGCCATCGAAACATCAAACTCTTTGACCCAGAGCACATTAGAGAACTGAGCCTCATATATTTTGCTTTTTCGAAAACTCAAGCCTTCACTTCAGTACACAATATTTTGTTTTGTGCCCGAATAATTAAGCCTGGACCACCTTTTAAAAACTGAATTGACACCAATAAGAACCACAATCAAATCTAATCCAGTTTAAAACTCCATTAGTTGCTTTTACAAAATTGCCTCTTGATGTAATTATTGGTTTGGTTATTACGCGATGTGTAAGATTCCAATTGAATATTTATATGCTTTTGTACATGTTGATTAATTTAAGTTTTTTATGAAAAAAAAAAAAAAAAAAAAAAAACCGGTTCAAAATTATTTCGAGCAAATAAAGCGCGCGAGCAGGCTTACAATTGCATATTTTAATGGTTTACAAGCTTACAATAGCTTGATTTAAGCCGTCAAACTTAGTTTTACTCGAGTTAAGTTTTTTTTTATGAGTACTTTAGCGCCGTTTTTCAGAAATTCTAAACAATGAGGAAATTTTTTATTTTATGTTCTTTTAGTCGTTTTCTACAAAAAATGTTTTCCAATTTCGATTTTACGATAACTGTCGATTATACCTGAGCTTTAGTTTTTTGTTCAGATACTTCTATCACACCACGCCGAAAAAACGACACTAATTTCAAAACAAATTGTCGGTCGGAACCTTCTGTGCTACTTGCACAGTACACGGCTATCCTTGTACTTGTTGCTAACTTATCTTCTAGCAATATCCATAGAAGCAGAAAGCAGAAGCAATGCCCTAAAGCACCAAATCAGGGTTTCGTAATTACATTTTGGCCAAATTCATATACACAGATGCGACTCTTTGCATCACTAGAGATCAATCGATTAGAAAAAGAGACGGTTATCTAAGTAAAAACAAATAAAAGCCAGAGAGGTAGTGTGAAGGGGTATAGATGAGAAGTGGTGGCCTTCGGTAATATTCTATCTGAACCGGGAAGCAAGGGGTAGTGTCAATAACCTG